TTTTAGCGATTTACACTCTTATGTAAACGGAGTCCTTTCGTTCTGCTACATGCTCGTTTCATGAAGATGTTGTTAACACTTGCTGTCAGATGTCATTTGTCATTTGATGTTTATTATTATTGTTACGCTGGGTTGTCTGTTGTTACTTATCGTTCTGGTTTGATTATTGTTCGATTATTATTGTTTATTGTGTTTGAAAAAAACTTAAAATGGAAAAGAAGTGTTTTGTACCTTGTTGCCTAAATACTAGTTTAAATTCAATGAAGAAATTTATAACAGTTCCCCGAGATGATCGACGACAAGCTTGGTTTGATGCTGTAAACAGATCAGTTGTACGTACTAATGTAGTTTGCTGTGAGGAACATTTTATTGTAAGTTTAAATATTAGTGTGTATGTATTTTTCCGTATTCTATTTAGATAAATCTGTATCCTGTTTTTTACAGAAATTAAAAAATTCTAGCTTCTAACCCTTTTAAAGTTTGCATTTCACATTTATTATGGTATACAAAAAATATTTTAAAAATAAAGTAGGTATAATACAGTATAATAATTATGTATATATTTCTTTTTTAGTTTCAAAGTGATGCAGAAAACTGGGCTCAACATATTACTGTGGGTAATAAACTGCTACTGAAGAAGAATGTTGTACCACATCTTAAATTAAAACGTTTTGCTAGTGATAATATTTCCAGCCAAGCAAAAAAATTTCTATTGAAGAAATGCCCAGTACAAGCACTGGAAGAAGAGGTCAGCTGGAGGACATAACAAATTTAGAGGATCCAGTTCCAACTATTTTTTCACCTCCAACAAGTAGTTCAAACTCTCCAAGCTCAAAATCGAGTTGTAGCCCCAGTAAATATACATCGGAGTATAATTCTTCTGATACCTATGATGAATTTGAAATGCCTCTGAACAGACAAGCCTCAACAGTATGGTTGTTAGAAAAGAAGAGTAGGTTTTACTTAGGAATTCCTGAAGAAGTGTACCATGTTGTAAAATTTGTTACAGAAGTTGAAAAAATTACATATTTGGATACCCTTATAGCACTAAAAAAAATTCGTACTAATGATGTTAACTGCAGACTTGGTGACGATTTTCAAATGTGCAATTTTTGTCTGGGGGATATGGCGGTCGTGCTTCTGATAAGTTTATTGTTGAGAATAGTTGTTATTTGGATATGTTACCAACAAATGCAGGAGTAATGGCAGACAGAGGCTTTAAGCACATTGATGCTGTGCTTCAACAGAAAGGGTGCTTTTTACTTCGTCCTCCTAGTGTACCTGAAGGTACCATCTTACTGAAGTCGGAAGTGAGAGAAAGCAAAAGAATTGCATCATTACGGATTCATATTGAACGTGTTATTAAACGCATAAGAGACTTTAAAATAATAGATATACATTCAAGAATAAATTCAAATTTATTATTTTTAATTAATCATATTGTGATTATTGCATGTGGAATCATTAATGTACAAGGGCCAATAATAAAATGATTAATTTATGTTTTTTATTTTTATTTCCTGGATAGCAAATAATGTGTTAGATTGAATACTATATTATTTAGTTATTCAGAAATATATTTTCTTTTATAAGAGTAGGTACTTTTTCAACTATTTTATACAATTTTAAAGACTTTAAATTAGCAAATAATTTTTAATTAAATTCTATAAGGAAACTTGAAAATATATATATATATATATTTTTTTTTTAAATTTTAATAGCACCGATTTTCATACAGGGTTTTAATTCCAAGGGCGCATTCCCGAACCTAGTTCAAGTAGAAAAGTTCATATAAACATGTGTTCTAAAAAGTCTAGTTTTCAAGATACAGGATGTCAAAACTTTTTAAAAAAATAGGTTTTTTATTAAAATCTCAAAGATCCTGTTGTCAATGTTGTTGAAAATTTAGCAGTTCTTTATTGTGATAAGTTAACACTAAATAGAAGATAATTATGAATTCCAGTGGCATCGCGGGGTGGTCTTACGATAATATTGAAAAAAATATATGCAACTGACTTTAAAAATTCTATATTTTGTTCTCGATTAAGTAGCTATACAACTTTTTTTGTTTCTTAATATTTTTTCATAACTTACTTCGTTTTCGAGGAAAACATAATACTTGAACTTGGTTCAGGAATACGCCCTTGGAATTACGGCCTATCATAACGTAACACCCAATAATTCAAAATAACACTTTAATTTTTTTACGGATGCAAATCAATTTAATACTTGAATATACCTTACAAGAAGATGAGACCATCAAGCAGATCCTCTACTATTGCCCGACGCTCTCATTTATTAGATTTGTAGATTTTGACGATGTTGTCAAGTACATCAAATCTGTAGGCTGGCTCACGACCTAGGAGATGCCTATCAACTTAGATGCACAATGGGTTTAATGAGGCCTAAGTGTCGTGATGGTATCCCTCCCGCCAAACTATACAGATACCTTAGATCAGCTTTTATTTCTATCAATCTAGAGAAAAATATTGTTGACACTAAAGAAACGTACACTAATAATTTAAATATTTATTTTAAAAATCATTTACAAATTTTAGGAAATACAGCATTTTTCCAGAATAGTAATGCTAAATCTAACATATTGTTACAATTTGTTTGATTAAAGTCTACTTCATAAATATCAACTTCTTTGTTATGTTCAAAGTTAGGTGAAGCTATACAAAAAAGAGATTTATTTTTTTTTGCAAATAACATTTGTAACTGCATTTGACTTAAATATTTTTTATTTATTTCTCCATCTTTTATATAATTTTCTACAGTTTTATTTTTTGATGGGCACTTTACTTCTATGCAATATTCTTTGCTAAGTCCATCAGGTGATGCTCCAAAAAAAGGATATTCTTTATTTAAAATTAGCCCACATTTTAAAATTTTAATGTTTCTTATCGTTTCAACAATCTTTAAAACTTCAGGTTCTAATGTCTTTCCCCTTAACATTGCCGTTGTTTCTATTGGTTTTGAAGCACCAAGAATTGTTTCTATTAAAGAACCATCTGTAGTTCGACAATGGGCAGCTTCATAAAATTTTGATGCAGTAATTCTGCCCCACCGAAGTTTAAACCATTGGGATGATTTTGACTGATTTTGGGTAGCAATTTCTGCTTTTTTACATGTGGAATTCTCCATTTTTTTACAGACAAAATTCATAAAATTCTCAACAGATTTATCAATTTTTGTGCCTTGAAAATTTTCAATTAGGTGAAACAGTGATATATCTTCAAATATAAACTTCTTATATACATCATATAGTGGACCAGTACCGCTTAAACATTTTACTTTCTCCAAAAAGTTGTTATCCTTGTTTCTAAGGGGTGGAATTTCTCTATCTACCAAATCTTCTAATTTGAATCCGTCTTGCTCTATAGCAGCTTTGCTCAGTTTGGAAGCTTTCCAGTAGCACACCTGGGATGTAACAGAAGGTTGTTCACTTCTTCGATGCAACCACATGATAAATGCAGTAGCATGTTTACATCCACCTGTAATGACAAAACAAATAAAGATTAGGGGATACATCTGAAAAATAATTGTTTAACCTGTGTGGATACACAACTTGAAATATAATTGTTTAACTTATTCTTTCCTTTTTTCGTAGTCATTTTTGTAATTTTTTTCAGATTCAAACTATTCAGTCAAAGAAAAAGTAATATTATTTTTCAAACATAAAAATAAAAACTAATACATACTCGACTTCTTTGCAGTAAACAAAAGAGAAAGTGTGATTTAATAAGTTTTGAAAAAATACCTACATAACTTTTTAAAAGTCACAAATGTATAATTTATTTAAATTTAAATAAATTGTCATACCTTTCTGTTACTTCTTAATTAATACATTAACAAAAATTGTAATTGAGAAAAATTTTAATGATTTAACATCTAATTGGTTTTTTTTAGCTCAGTGGCCTTGGTAGGCAAGTGCCCATTTTTCAAAAACAGTTACATTGTATTCAAAAAATTTTGGTATTTTTAATAATATACATATCCTATGATAAATAATGAATAATCTAGTGTTACAGTAGCACATTATAAAGAAGGTAAAAGTTTCTGTTTAACCTTTTTTTGCCCCTAGGTTTTTTAAAAGTATAAATCCTACAATTTTAGGTTTTTTAGGATTAATATTAAGAACGAGTGCAAAAATTACTGTATATAAAAACAAATGAAAATATTTTATCAGAGGTTACCACTGGGGAACTTCTTGATATTTATTTTTCACTTTAGTTTTTTTTTTGTTCAACTATTAGGTACTAACTTTTGAAATATATGAATTAAAAAACTTAAATAACCTAAAAACCTACTTATACATTTTTTAATTCTTAGGTTTTTTCGAACCCTGCATATAACACTCTTTTTTCACAACTACTGATAAACTTCAGCTTGTGGTTTAGTGTCCTATATCAGAATTGCTGTCAAACATATATTTCAAGAGCAAGGAAATGTTTTAGAAATCAGTAAAAATTACCTTTAAGTTGTGTGAAACATATGTTCCTTGCCCTCAAAATTAAAAGATAAAAACAATCTGCAAAACAAGGATAAGCCTATTGCAATGTGGCAGGTGTAAAATTAAAATTCTAAAAGTCAGTACAAAGTGGAGTAGACATGCTCATTATAAGGAAACTAAACCACAAGATTACCCTTTTTTGTTGAAATGGTTTAAATTTAAAAATACCAACCTTCAGAAGCAGCACAATCCAAACAAGTACACTGCAGAACTATATTCTGTATCTCATCAATTCTGGCAAAAACACTGTATTTCTTATTTTTTATTTTATGCTCAGGTGTTATTTTTCCTTTGACAATACATATCTGTCCTTCTCTTTTAAGCTGCACATAACCAATTGCATTATCTCCATAAGATTCTCTGGAGGATCTAAAATAAATAGAAAAATTAGATTTCAAATGTTTGTATATTATAAAGGCTATCCTGTATAAACGTAAATAAATGAAGCTTGTTGTTTATAACAAAAACAAATGCATCAACATACCTTTTAGTTTTAACATTTTTGACCTCTGCTGACACATGGTCAATATTAGAAATAAAAAATTGTTCTACCATTTCTGAATCAACACATGGTAGATTATCAGAATTAGCTTGAATGTATCCGCTCTCATTTTTTCATAAAATAACCCAAAAACTAAAACAAAATGTAATCGACTGTAATGATTTGAAAGAAATATTTCACTGAAATATTTCACTAAAATAAAACGCAGGTCTGATCGAAACAACGATTTATAATCAACTAACTAAACACAAATCCTTTTCTAACAACAACGCCAAAAAGAATCATTCGGTGATTCAGCCGTTTTATCAGTACTTGGAACATTACACAACGCCTATTGCTATCGGCAATCAAGTCATGTACAATGTGATTGCAAATAATTTCTGATAAACCTCACTTATTTAGGTATATAGGCCCAATCACTAACATTAATGTTATATTGATTGAGAGAAAATAGGGTAATTTAATATTACTATAAGTACCTATTACACCTACTATAAGTACCTATTAAATATGACTAATGGCTTAAACAGGTAGGTAAATAATAAAAAGAAATAATGTATTTACTCACTGCTTATTCCAAGAATTAACAACAAAATATCTATAATGGTTTCCCAAAAGGTTATCCATGAAGTCCAAGAATTATAATTAGGAAATATAATATGCTTTTGAATTTTGATAAAAAAATATTAAATACAAAAATGTAAATATTGATATTTGCATTTCACATCAAATGTCAATGAAATGACATTACCAAATGTGACAATAGTATTATCAGTTTTGTCGTTTTAACCTGTTAGATTAAAACGAGAAAACCGATAATTCCGAATCGCAAGCGGATGATAAATAAAACACACCTAATGCACTTTTATTCGCACAGAACTAAGTATATCAGAAATCAGTTAACATTTTACAGGAACACCAACATTCCAAATCGAATTTTTTTAAAATTTTTTATTTCTTTTAACCATAAATACAATAGCTTTTCTTAAAATATAGTATCCAGCGTTACTGTTAACTCTTTTTGGTGGTATTACATTTTAGTTCTTAATGCATTAAAGAACATTTGAAGGACCGTATACATCCAACGAACGCATTTGCAGTGTTGCCGATAACAGTGACTAGTGACGTCACATTATTTTTCAAATTTGAAATTTCAACAAAATATACAATATTTCAGCATGTTAGAGCTTCAATAGGACTAGTTAGTATGTAAACGTTTCAAAAATAACAATAAAAATGAAATAGAAAAGATTGTACGGATCCCTATTGTATTGCAAAAGGTTGCTTTAACTGTGCTATTGATATTTGTTCTAAAATAATTGCAAATAAAAGGTCTTAAATCGTGAGGCGATTTTATTCTAAATCTTTGTTTGTCTCAAGATTGTTCGGAAAGCGTCGATAATGCAGTCTTGCCAATTGTCGGTCGTTTTAATTGTGTATCTATGTTTATTAAATATTTTATTGTATGTTACGTCGTATTTGTCTGAATTTGGGATAATGATTATTTGATTTGTTGATAAGTTTAAGGGTTCTTCGGATATAGGAATTCCGTTAATGTGATTTTCAATTGAGGTGTGTTGGGTTTGTGAGTCGTCTGAGGTATTTTGTATCTCGTCGAAATTAGTCAGAAAATCGTCAAGGTCGAAATCTGTAGTGTAGGGAGCTATAGCGCACATTGAGTCGCTAGTAAGGGCATTTAATTGTACTCGGGAAAGGGCGTCAGCAACTTGATTTTCTTTACCTTTTTTATATTTAACTTCAAAATTGCAGTCATCTAATTTTAATCGCCATCTCGCTAAGCGGGATGTGGGATCTTTAATTTTGTAAATCCATACTAAAGGATTATGGTCAGTTTCTATTAGGAAATTTCGTCCATATAGATAGGATCGGAAATGTTTACAGGAGTCAATTATGGCTAGAAGTTCTTTTTCTGTCGTAGAGTAATTTTGTTCAGCTGAATTTAAAGTGCGGGAATAATATGCAATAGGGCGATTAGATTGCGTTAATACGGAACCTAAGGCTATGTTAGAAGCGTCAGTAGTTAATGTAAAGGGTTGTGAGAAGTCAGGGTACTGAAGTACAGGTGTGTTAGAAAGTAGTGTTTTGCATTTTTCAAAACATTCTAAGTATGCGGAATTAGTGGGGTCGATTACAGAATTTTTACGTGTACATCTAGTAAAAGGAGAAGTGATTTTTGCGAAGTTAGGAATAAATCTTCTATAATATCCAATTAATCCTAGAAATGACTTTATTTCTTTTACGGTTTTCGGAAGTGGATATTTTCGAACGGCTTCGAGTTTTGCAGGATTGAGTTTAATTCCGTCAGGTGTAACAATGTGACCAAGGAATGCTACTTTTTTTGTTAAAAATTCGGATTTGTCTAATTGGACTTTTAGATTGGAATCTTGAAAGGTTTTAAAGATAGTGGATATGTGTGACAAGTGTTCTTGAAGAGATTTAGAAAATACAATTACATCATCCATGTATACAATGCAAAATTTATATAGAAAGGGTCGTAAGATGTTATCCATTAATTTTTGAAATGTAGCGGGTGCGTTTTTAAGACCAAAGGGCATTCGAACAAATTCGAAATGACCGTGGGGGACTGTGAATGCAGTTTTCTCAACTGATTTAGGGTGTACTTCTATCTGATGGAATCCTTGTGCTAAATCGAGGGTCGTAAAATATGCTGCTTTTCCTAAATTATCTGAAATCTCGTCAATTTTAGGGAGATGATATTTATCTTCTATTGTATTTTTGTTTAGTTTACGATAGTCAATTACCATTCGAAATTTCTTTTTGCCAGAAGCATCGGCTTCTTGGGAACGATCCAAACAGGGGCTGAATAAGGGGAGATAGATGGTCTGATAATTTTATTGTCAAGTAATTTGTTTATCTGCCTTGTAATTTCTTGTTGCATACTTTGGGGATGCCTGAAACTACGTGCATATATGGGGTGTTCGTCGTTTGTTCGAATTTCGTGTTTAATGGCTGAAGTGAATGATAAGTCTGTCTTTTCGTCATAAAATATGTCTCTAAATTTGTAACAAAGATTTAAAATTTTCTTTTTTTCTTCGGAATTTAAGTGTTGGGTACGTATAATGTTAGGGTCAAAGTTTGAAGGGAAATTATTAGATAGTGTATAATTATTTATTGATTCTACGTGTATTGGGTCTAATTGAATCGGTTCGTCTAAGGTAATGTCTATGTAGCCGTTTGTTACCTTATGAATTGATTCGGGAAAAGTAATATTATTTATTTTTGTTTCGGGTAGCAATATTTCTCCATTTTGTATGTCTACTGGTATTTTGTTAAAAAGAGTCTGAAAAGGTATGTCTAAGATGTATTGTTTAAGTGTTAAAGTTTTCGTACTTTAAAATAGCGCAGAATTTTTATAAATCGTAATTACCTAAAAGAATATCGAAATCTTTACTCCAATCGGCAATACGTGCGTCTATAAATTCATTAATACCAATTTCTTTAAATAAAGCGGTTTTTAAATTAAAAGAGTATTTTGTGGTTTTTTTCATGGACGTGAGAGTAAAATCTTTTTTATATTTATGAAGGGGATTAAAATAATTAGAAGCTTCGGGGGTTATAATTGTATCGGATCCTCCAGAGTCGATAAGTACTCTGAGTTGGCTAAAGGGTAGTATAAAATATGGAAGTCTGGGGAAAGTTTTAATATTGTTTAATTGGATTGAGGTGGTGGTTGTTCTTCTAACGAGAGGTTATGAAAATTCTCGCTTGAAAGTTCATAATCTTGGGGAGTTTCATCGATGGGAAAATCATCGCTTGGAAAATTATTAGAATATTCTTCGAAATTTTCGGGGGGTCGAAGTAATTTTCGGATTCAACATTAAAATCATGCGTCCTCCTAGTCGAAAACGATATGGGTTGAGCAGCTTGAGTGCGTATGGTTTGTACACCACTCATAGGTTTGGGAGCAGAGTTATTGCTCTGATTTTGAAACGTGGGTCTAAATTGATATGATTGATTTTGAAATGGTTTATAAGTATTATTTGGGCAGTTGGATTTATTTGTTTAAAATTATCATTATTTTGATGGGGTTTAAAAGGAAAATTTTTAATTTGATTGCTAGGTGGAAATCTTTTTGTGTTTTCACTTTTGTGCCTAGTATTTTGTGATTTTAAGTAATTCATATAAGAAACTTGATTTCTATGGTTATCATAAGCTATGCATTTTTGTAACGCGGTATCTAACGAATCTAATAAGAAATGCGAAAGATATTCGCAATAAGGATTGTTAATACCTGTACAAAATGTTTTTAAAGCTATATTTTTAAAATAAGGTGTTTTAAATTCTACCGTTTCGCGGTTATCATTTAATGATATATGTGTGAGTAAATCACTTAAATTATTATTTATTCTCTGATGATACTCATCGTATGTTTCAGATGGTTTCTGAACAGAAGTTCTAGGATTTCTTCAGATCTCCTACCACCATATTTTGCTAATAAAACTGGACGTATTTCGGTCCAATTTGTTTTATTTGAAAAATTTAAAAAATCTCTCGGCTCACCTTTAATCCTAGATAAGATATTAGAATTTAATATGAATTCTTGAGGAGCAGTAAGATTCTGTCCTTGAAGAAAAATTAAAAGGTTATCTACGGAGTTTAGAAAAGTTGACAGGTTACTTCCCGTCGAATATTCTGGGAGAGTTGAACAAAGACTGGAAATGTCACTATTGTTCAACATTCTTACAGGAATAGGGTTTTGCACTGTCAAGTTTACGGGGCTTCGATTAAGGGGGCTTCTATCACGAAAAATAGGATTTCGTGAAAGAATTAAATTAATTTCTTCCTCAGTGGAATTAGAAAAGGTGCTCATAAGTGAAACAGGTAAGGAAAGATACTTACAGGAACATGATCAGCTTTGATTTCTTCTGCATTACTTTCTTCGTAGATCGTCTATCAAACAACTGAAGTTGACCAGGAATTCTTTGTAATTCTGTATAGATGATCCTGTTCGCAGCGCCAATTATGTTTTCACTCACTCAAAGCACTTTTTAAAAAAGAGATGTTTATTAAT